TAAGAGTGAAGGCCTGACTGCCATAAACAAAGAGAGAAAAATGGCCAGGTTTTCTCCCCATTATTGTAAATATCCATTTTAATTATTTTTAAAAGGAAACTGATACATAAATAATTATATTGTATCTACAAGACCCTCACATCCTGGTCTATGGGCACTAAAATGGAATGAGCTTTCTTAGGATGTAGTTTGTACAGAAAGGTAAACTGATTGCTCATATTGGTGGATATCAGTATTTCAAATTACTTTTTTTGAAAAGTATTCATTTCTTAAACACAAAACAAACAAAAAAAAAGCACTTCTGCCACTTTGTGGTTTGAAAGTCTTTGGGAATGAAAATAAGACAAAATTACTGGAACCTACAAACCTGTAAAATGTTCACTTCATTCATTCACACTCTGTCATTTAGTTAAATGGGGTTCAGCCTGGATGGTCTTGGCACAAGAAACTTTTTTTTGTGGGCAATAAAATACAAACAGGGCTGGAAATAATATGTTAAAAAATAAAGATTAAGGTTTTCCTGAACCATCAAAACACATGTGCTTGAGTTCCGAATGCCAACGAACAGAAAAGGGTTTCTGAAGTTCCTGAACGTCTAGGTAAATTTAGCCCATTTAGAAAGATAGAAACAAATAAGCCAGCAAGGCAAGCATGAAAACTACAGCCAACAGGTCCAACACATGAAGTAATAGACATTTACAAAGAAAACCTTATGCAATGTAAAACACTTATAAACGCGGCACAAAACATAAAACAACTCATCCTAAAATTCTGATTTTAGAATCTACAACAATAAACAACAGCCTTAAGATTAAACTTACTTTTCCCCTCAAGTTTTATGACCACAAAGAAGCGTTTTAAACACATCACTTGGTGGGCTCCCAAGCGGCTTGCTCAGTACAGACCCTGGTTTGGAGCACAGGGTGCTTCCTGCCGTCAGCAGGCTGAGCCCAGTTTGGCTCATTAGCTGGAAGGGACTGGGTAATGAGCAGGCCGCCAAACACAACTGGCTGTTCTCTACAGGGAAGGGGTGAGCCTGGGTCAATGGGGAATCATCGTGTTCTAAGGGAAAGGAAGCCCTTGAGCAGGAAGGTCTAACACAGGAGATGTCCAGTGCTTGGGAGCCCCTTATCTACTGGTTTTAAATTGTAGCTCAGCTCTTAATGCCCAAAGGGAACTAAGTGCTGGCTTAACTGGAGCAGGAAAGAAGTTCTTCTCATCAATCCAAAGTGCTGCGGATGTACATAAACCTACAGTACAAGATCTGCTGTACTGTGACTCACTAATCCTGGACTTGAGCACCCTCCCCGTCTGAAGCTCTGAATGGTGAAAAGAACCCCAGCACCCAGTAAAACATGCCCTGTACTGTGACAAGTAACCCCTCCGATTACTCAGGGATATGGGAGTCTGCAGTTGTCAGTCCAATCGATGCTATCTGTTTGTCTACTGAGGGAAATGTGCACTGCACTCATCCTCTCATGCTGGTAAAAGGGCAAGAGGAGTGAGCCTAGTTTGTTAGTAAATGTGCCATTCCAAACAGGGGAGTAGTAAGTGAGAAGCAACTGTGAATCATTAGTCCTTGTCTATTTTTATATCTAGCTTTTAAACATACTGTTTGCAATAATATTTCATGCAAAACTGCTTTATTGTGTTATAGGTATTAAAAATAAAGTGTTCAAAAATATTCACTTATTTTCTTTTGGTGTGTTCTTTAGCTTTGAAAAAATGGATAGCTACGTTTTACATACAGTACAGTACATTATAAACATACTTGTTTCCAAACATGTTTGGCATACAGCAAGCAAACGTCTGATATGCTCTTGTGTATTCCAAAAAGCCTTATGTGCCATATACCATATTCTTCTTAAAACATAAATTATAATAAGGGCCACGAAGACAAGAATTTTAATAACCCACAATTCATGCTATTAAGATTTCAATAAATGTTTAAAAATGCAAATGCACATTTTATGGTTTGTAAAATATGTGTCAGGTAATTTCTTTACACCATCCCTATTATTGACCATTAGAAAAGAGTATATGTAATAACAGCATAACAACAGGTGTCAGGCTGAATAACAGAAAGATAACAGCAAGATAACAGCACACAGATTGAAGCACAGATAAAAGAGACTGCATTTACTTTCATTCTACATTTGACTGTTCTGTGTTTCTGTTTCTTCTAATTGTATTGTTCGCATGTTTCATTCATAATCACTAAAGTAAGAGCCGATCTGAGAGAATTGTACCAAACACGCAGTGAAATGCGAGTATATGATAAGACTAAAAGATTGACCTTTTCGGTTACGCTAAGAACCGATAGAGGAAATTTAACATTACAAAAGTTCTTTAAGGTTCATTAAAAAAACCTTCTGAAAATGAGTTTGGAAACCTCTCCATTTGTGTATGCTTATTCAGCTGGTTCCAAAAATAACAGCATCTGCAGCCGTGGTGTGGAACAACCTGGGCTGCCCTATCTCGATGAACTCACAAAAGCCACTCGATACTGCCCTCTGCTGGACTAAGCATATACTGCACTTTTTAAAAAAATGGCAACCACAGATAACACAAATCCCACACAAATAATTACTGTACTATTATTTAACTTGAAAAAGAAATATAAACTATTATTTTGTCTTAATCTGTTTATCTAATCTAATTTATTAAACATCCAAGCTATCAAGGTATTCTAAATGGTGTATGAGGAAAAAAAATGAATATTTCTGATCTGAACAGCAGAACGCTTACTTACCTAAACCAGATTGCACGATAATATTTGTGTTATATAGTACTGCTCATGAAAAGTTCATCCACTGAAAAGTGAGGATCAGAGGATTTACTGAAACAAACTGCAATTTTAAGCGACCTTTGCATTTCCTGTATGGTACAGTATGTACATTTCACACTCCAATAGTATCACATCATCTTTCATCTATTTCACATACAGTAAAGCAAGAGTGACAACCCTACACATTAATAGCACTGTCATGAAAAAATCCACATGCAAGCAATTTTTCTTAGGAATTTAACTTTGTTTTATTGCATTAAGATAAAATGATATCCGATTGAAAATTGTTTTAAATGCAGAACTACAGTAAATGTTCATGAATGACAAACTGGACAACTTTCACTATGAATAATATTAACAATAACAAACAGGTATTAAGCACCCCAGAGAATGATGATTAACAACATTGCTCTTTTTTTCAGATAGGCACATTACACCAAAGAACTCCTGGTCACTGGTCGCAGAGCAGTGGCACAGAGAGGTGTTTTTTCTAAATAAGTAATGAACTAAAGTACAACATACAAAAGCTACTGAGCGTACATGACACAGGCATAAACAATGTTTTTTTTGTTTGTTTGTACCAAACAAATTGTCAATAAAAATGAAGCTATAAAAAATGGCTTTCAGGATTTGATTATAAACTGGTTGACCCTAAATATTCCAAAGAATAAAAGGGTTACTATTTAGAGCAAAACATACAGGTTAACCTACGTTCAATATTTCTGTCCAGCTGTGGGTAACGTGTCTAATCATGACTGAATATGGTCTGTTTTATTAGCCCTCAAAATTGTTGCCTGTAATGTCAAACCAGAAAGTAAGAGCAATAAATTTTATTTCAGATATTTGTATGTGAAAAAAATGGAAGACTGCTAGACTATAAACAAAAATAGGCAGACAAACATAAAAGTGTGATTTTAAAAGGTGAGTGCGCGGAAGTGACTCAGTTACTGTTACTACAATGGTGATGATGATGATCATGATCATCATCCAATCTGCTCAATGCTCACACAGCTTCACCAATGTTTTCCAAATTTTGGTTTTGATGAATGTAAAATTAAATCGACTGTATGTTTTCATCTTAAGAATCTCAGCAGGACATGTGCCTGAGATTTTGAAAATGAGCCAGGCCACAAAGGTTCATGATCAAGTCACATGTAGTATGTTTCCAAGGAATTAGAAAGTACCACTACCTTAAATAATAATATAAGACTGTTTTCTCATTTGTAAAGAGGGAAACGCAATTACGTGAAACCGAGCTTGCTCATTCCTAAATAGCACATTCGGTTCATCTCAACCTTACTCTAACTGTTTTTGAAAATGTGTTGATGTTTGAATTTGTTGTTTTTCCATACCATGTAAGGTGGTCAGTAGTAACCGCATACCGTGTGCATCAACTTATTCAGAATAAATTCTTTTAGAAAGCCCGAGTCGATGAACAGGTTAATTTTCACTTGGAAAATGGATGATACTTCTACAGTTTATTATAGTTTTATTGCCTAAAATGTTTTTACAGCCTTCAAAATATACCCAAAATATTACAGTAATGCAAGGCATTCTCTTACATATACAGAAAAAAAATTTTTTTTCAAGATATTGCGCAGCACAATAATGACAGAGATGTTTATACTTATTTCAATGTGCCCTTAATTAATATATTAATACTTACACCAATACTTACTCACTCTTTGTAAACATTTAAAGCTAAGGTTATCAGTTTAGGATACTTAGACATAAATAAAGGGAATTATTTACAGTCTTCCCAACTTCTTTAAAATACATTTTAAATAAAACAAGGCATTTATTTCAATAACTTTGGAGACTTAATTTTAGACTTACTGTAAGATACTCACGCACATAAATTGCAAATAACGCACTGTGGCCATGTCCAAATTTAGGATTAAGGCGATCTTAATGGGACAACAGATATATTATCAAATACTGTATAAGTGTGTATTTCCTCAAAAGGGATAAAAAATGTGGTGGCAACTTCGGAGTAAACAAATATATATTTTTTTGAAGTTTTTTCCAAATTAACTAAAATAATTCAAGGCTTGAAATATAGAGAGAAAACTAGGAATCTGATCTAACATGCCTACGTAAGGCAGAATATGCCTTTAATTAAAGCTTACAACAGCTAAGGGAGGTGCTTGTATAGGTACCTTTGTGATGCATACTAGAGATATGGTATAAATACCCTCATGAGTATCTCACCAGTAGCGTCTCTCCAGCTGACATTCTCCAACCCAAAGGATATACGAGCAGTGGCAACAGCACTCATATCTGTGGAGTCCAATTATGCTGGTATGTAATATGCATTTCCATTTTTAGAGCCTATTAGGTCAAGGATTTAAAAGATGCAGTTTTTCTTTATTCCACCAGAGCTAGACAATGTGGCACCCAGTCTTTGCAAGCCACCAGCTGGTAGCTCAGGCATAATACTTTTCCAATTGAGCCTTGCTCAACGTTTTTATGCTGATGGTGGGGGAGAGGTGTACAGTATACGAGAATGTGGAGCACACATTTCTTTAAAAAATCTCTGCTGATTATTATACGGCATTGCACTGATTTGAATTACAGCTGTTGGTTTTTTACCATGCTTGTAACATGTCTTACTTCTGAGAACAGTTTCCCCATTATTTCCGTATGGCCAGATACTGCGTTTGATGAAAAATAACTTTAGGAGCAGATGGGCAGGCGCAATTCACAGCTTTTGAATGACGCAAATTCTTATTTCCTCCACAGATTTAGCTACAGAAGATGGAGCTGCAAATAACAAGCCTTCTTCTGGTACTCCTCTGCTTGAGTGAGGTTCATGCAGGGGCATATTACGGCAAAAAGTCAGAGACCAAGGGGCCTCAATATCAACCATATAATGTCAAGAGCCAAGGTAAGACTCCATCTTTGGTCTTCGATACAACAGCCTGATCTTTCTTAGCTAGTTTTTCACTTTGGGGAGTCAGAAGTCAGGGTCAATGTAAAGTATTTTAACGAAAATAGAACTATGGTAGAATTGCAAGCTTTATGATATTAGCCGAGCATCTGACTACGATTCATTCAACCGAACTTCCTCCTTCAAACTATACAACAGTATTTGCTGGGTTTGAATCACATGAACTTTCGAACCCTTCTCTATCCTTCCCAGTAGCTGAAATGCTGGGTGCAAGCAAAGCAAAAACACGTACGGGCTAGAAACTGAACATCTATTTTAAACAGTTCAAACATTTCTTTTTGAAGTAGATGACCTATTAAACACTGTATAATATCAGCTCCAGTGTCTCTGAGCATTGCACATTCTCTATATTTGAACTCTTTCCGGTTGTGCCTTTGTTAAGTTTAATTATGCATTACGCAGTCTTGTTTGGAGCAGAATTCAGCATCAGTCTTGAAACGATTCATTTTGCACGTAACTTCAGCCTTTTTTACCCCCAAAAAAGATGCATGGTGATTCAACTAGTAGCTGTGGATTATAATTTAGAATAATTTAACTATATAAAAATAAAGTTACAGAAATTATCAGCATTCTCAGTGAGTGCTTAAGCAACAATTGACTCAGGAGACTTATTCACTAGAGTCCTATAGTCCAGACATCAGCAGTTCCAGACTGGGATGTCCTCAGCCTGCTGTGGCTGGTACTCCTCAGCCTGCAGGAATATAGCTGTTCAGACGCTGCTGTGGTTGGGGGACTTGAGCTGTCTAGGGCGCAGTGTTGTTATTGGCTATTCCCCAAGCGCCTGGGAGGTTGCAGTGCCATTAGAGAGTGAAAGCATCTGGAAATCAATCCTTCAATTCCTGCTAGCTCCCCTAGGGGCCACAGTGCAGATACTGTCAGACAGCTTCACGGCCCACTCCTCCGGAAAATTCTGCAGCACCCAGGGACCAGTACAATTGGCAGGACCAATATGACAACAAATGCACTGGCTGCACTAAAATGCTTCAACAAGTGCAAACGCTGAGTAGACTCAGCGCACGCAATCCTCCAAATCCTTGCAAAGATGGCACAGGCATGAAAAGAGCAAAGCAGGGAAGATTAACAACTGGCAAATACAAAAAAGAGGGGTTTCATAGTCGGCGATTTCACGTTTCCAAAAAGGAAATTAAAAGAATTTTAGGTGCAAAGCAATGACTGCTACTATATTTTCCTGAATGAACTGTATTTAAAATATTGAGCAAACGCATTGAGACAAGATGGCTCAAACACAAAAAGATAAAAGCCAAGGCCTGTATAACACAACAAGCTCAGAATGATATTATCTCTTAGGTACTTCTTTTAGACACATAATTTTTTATTACATTTCAAGCAATGCCTATACTGTATGTTATTTACTTTATACAGACATTTTTTACAATTCAGCTGGACCTAGCACTGTGTAGAGAGATACATTAATTAACAGAAAGTCATTTTCAAGCTGCCTATCAAACAAGTATTGCACAGCACTTTGCTGTTCCTAATATTTTTCAGTTGACATTTATGTTTCTAATCTATCTGTCTAGGACAGACACATGGCTGGACTGATAAGAGTATGGGCTCACTTGTAACAGTTTCAAGTGTTACTAAAAGGGATTTCAAGGCTCAATGAAGGCCAACAGATGAATTTCAACAGTTCAAATATTTTCAGCAAGTGATTTTAAAAATGACGAGCCAGGACTGAAAAGCAAACCTGAGCAGAGAATTTACCTCATCTACCTAGATAAACAATTTTTGAACAAGCCGATGTTTAAGGCTAACTCAGTAGACATAATCTACGTTTGTGTCTAAATAATACCATTCTAAACAGACAACAAAACTACAACAGTTTATTTTACTGCTGTCTCCTCCCTCCCCAAAAATATTATATTGACAGAACAAAAATATACATCACTTTTATTTTTGTTCAATGTGGTTTTAATTGGATACTGACATCAGTCTGTAAGGAATGTCTATCTCTCTCTGTGCCAACAACTGGGTAGTTTTTGTATTCTCCAAGAGAGATGTTAACAAGTAAGGCACAGCCTAAACATTATCTACATTTTACCTACCCATCTATTAATCCATTTTCGGTCATTTTTCCAGGTGAGGGTAGCAGCTAAAAATGTTATGCCTCTTTGTTTATACTACACTTAAATAATTCAGACCCCAGTAGTAGTTCCAAATTTAAGTGGTTAAACTGTTTCTTAACTAATGATCCCAAACTGACCCTCAATGAATGCAGGTATAGTAACATACTCAAATAAAACACATTCATTCGTCTCTTAAATTTCAATATAGAGTGTCCCAGTTATGTGATCTTGACATTTTAAATAAATCAGTATTTATGCGTTATTCAAATGTTTCCATTTTGATTTTAGTTTTACATCTATTCTGTAGTGGGCGAAGTGAGTAGGTAGGGAAAGATGTAAATGCATATGATACACATAAACATGTTTGTTTATATAAAATACTATAAGATAATATCTATCTTAACTTATAAGAGAGGAACAGCAAAAGATTCAATCAATTAAGATTCAAATTGAACTTTATCCTTCAAATACATCTTCAAAACAAACAACAAATAAGATTAAAAACAAATAATGTGAAAGAAATATTATGTAAAAGAAAATTGTTGTTGTTTGATTTGGAGCTCTAGCTAAATATGGAATTGTAGCAACAACAAAATCTCCCAATCTAGAAGACAACATTGTCCTGAAACCCCTAAAAACCCAAAACGCACAACTAAAAAAAAAATAATACAAAGATCAAAATCACTGTGTAAGGCATATTTCTATTTTCCCACACAAATGCAGTAATTTGAAGATCCCAAAGAGGATATAGTTTGGGAAAACCAAATACCACAGACTTCCAAGAATGGAATAATCACTGTTATCAGGAAGGAAACTCAATGTCCTCAACAGCCCTGCCTAATGGCACATGACCAGGCCTTCTGTGACACTGTGCACTTTTCATAGCTCTCTGACTAAGCACTTCTTCCCACTGCTCTTTAAACATACAGTTCTCGACTGAAAACTGGCCGCGTCTTTCTGATTAGAGAACTCTGTTAAAACCAGAAATAATGCCTACTGTTACAAAGTTATTTCATGGACAAATAACTGAAACAAAGGTACAGCAAACTGACATTTAATGTGAACATCCATAGTTTGTTCAAATATAACAAGAGTGCAAGGAGTGACTATCAATCATTTTGTATCCACACTAACCAAGACTGAACCATTAACACTATTCAAAGACGCATTACATCCTGATGTGATAAAGGAAGAGGAAGAAGATGGGAGGAGATTTGTCCCTTTATGTTGCTGGATCCTTACACATCACCACTAACTGCAGCGTACAAGAACATTTTCATCAGTACATCTGTCTAGACTACCCTATTCCATACGCTATTTTTATTGAATTTAAAAGTCAACAAATGCATATTTGAAAACAGAGCCCTCCAATTATCTGTGTCAAACAGAACAACGTGGTCAGCAGACCACCCTCTCCTGTTCTTTGTGCAGTATTGTGGTTGAACAGGCCACAGTGTTATTACCAGGTTGGCGTGTTCTATGAGAGCTTCACAAACCCATTATTGTGGTCAAGGATGTGGTGTTACAAAGGCTATGGGAAGAGTTTGATCTGTATGGCCTGTAGGGTATTACTGTACCAGACAGTTTATGTTGTTGTTTTGTTAATGAATTATGTACGTATTGAAAGAGGTTTCTTTGTGTCTTTCTTCTATCCTGCCCATTCCTGAGGTAAGCTTAAATTCTTAAAGTGCATTAACCAGATTAAGTGCAATAAGTGCATTAACCAAACATGAACCATACCGTTGTTCATACAGACCCCTAATGGGGAAGCTCAAAAAGTTGCATTTTTGCAGTGAGCGAATACTATATAGAAACTAAAACTTTGGAAACAAGGATTTTCCAACAAAATTCAGTCAAATAACACTTTGAAAATAAAACAATTAAGTCACTACAAAATGAATTAAACAGAAAAAGTGCGTGATCATTGCAGGTCACTTACAGTACATCAAATCCTTTATTAATGACAAGGTACCAAGAATTTATCATGGGAGATAGATTTTCTGCCCACACTCAGCTTAACCAGACCACTGTGACAAATAAATTATATGAAGCAGCTACTGAACACATATAGTATAATATTAAGACTGTAAGTGCATTCAAATCTGTAGGAGAGGTGTACACTTACAAATAAAACTGAAAAACAAGAGCAATCGATAAATACACATTTCATTATTATTATTGTTATTAATATTTTCTATATTTACAAATTATACAACCTTTTCAAGAGTACTGATAATAGTTTACAAGAGTAAGGTAGAATGTATTCACAGTTGAGATAATATTGGTGTATTTACAGTAATAATTCATTGTTATAGAAACATCAGAGGTATTGGTCTTTTTTATGGATGTGCAATTTTCCAGTCAATGAGTAATGGGTTTTATTCCAAAAATGCTTTTTTTCCCCACAATTGTCACAAAATGGTTATATATACACCCCTTTTCATAAAGTGGTTTGTTTTTAATTTGGAGATCACTTGCTTGGTAGTACATATGAACACGTGCTTTAAACTTGCTGTGAGTAATTAGTATTTGTTATTGAGTAGATCATGTTACATGTGGGCTAATCACTAATCAATTCAGTCAATTCCTTACCTCTCACTGGTTTCAAGCAATTAATGTGAGATGTACATACAAGAACACTGCCCATTGGTCTTGTACCATGCAAAAAAACAT